TCTCTCTCTTCCTCTCTTTTTCTCTCTACACTCATCTCTCTCTCTGTCTCTCTCTGTCTCTCTCTCTGTCTCTCTCTCTCTCTCTCTCTCTCTCTCTCTCTCTCTCTTTTTCTCTCTCTCTCTCCCGCCCTCCATCCGCCGTCTCTCTTTCACTCTAGTTTATTCCGTATCATTTTCTTTCTCCCCCATTTTCATGAACTCGAGTGAGGCTACATCTGCCCCAGAAAACCGGTCATATTCCATTATTTTCCTAATTAAAAAGAAAGGACCTTTTCATCTAGCTCATGAAAAACGATCTGCAAAAATAATTGTCGCTAAGATGTGAAAGTTCGCCTATTTACTGTTGCACGAGATCTGAATTGGGAATATCGCTGGAGGAAAACGCGGGGAAACTTATGCGGCCTGGGGGGAGCGTGTGTGTGGTGGTTTAGCGCCAAATGACTCTCTGAAGACTGCACAAGTCAACGCACCAATGAGATCCGGTGACTGAACGTGCACTGTCGTGCATCTGCTGCTACGGAATGGGTGTGAGTGTGAGTGAGTGGTTTTTGCCCGATTGGTTGGGGCGGAAAAAAAAGAGCTATTGATGTTAACGTTGTCATGAATTCTTCATAGAGATCAGAGGTTATATCAATGTTTTGTAAGCACTTCGTGATGCAGCATTTGCCGAGTAACTGTGGTTCTCGCAGTCATAATCTGCGACGTCGCATAATAATGTAGCAGCACAGCAAAGGGGGTAGTGGTTGCAGTAATAGCAATGGTAGAAGCACCAGAGGCATCAAAAGAGGCAGCAGTAGTAAAAGAAAAAGAATATATAAAAAGACACAATTTGTACACTTAAAAAAAAAAAATTTGACATAGTTTTGTTGTTTTAGCCTTTTGGCTTTTTCAGTGGGGGAACTAAAAATAAATCTATTAAGGTCCTTCTGCAAAATACTTTTTAAAAGAAGAGAGAGAATATAAAAAAGAAGAACGACAATATAAAACAGATCTAGTAGATGAGTTGCAATAGGCTGAAGAGGAGTTCAGGGTGGGTGGAGGGTGAGACTGCAGGAGACAAAGACATGGGAGGGTGGTGTGCATGAGAGAAAGAAAGTAGGGCAGAGAGAAAGAGAGATGGAGAGAGCTAGAGAGAGGGGAAGAACAAGGGGGAGAGATGGGGAGAGAGAGTGGAGAGCGAGCTAAAAAGAAAAAGTGAGAGAAAGAAAAGGAAAGGAAAGAGAGAGGGGGTAGGTAGAGAAAGAGAAAGAGAGAGAGAGTAATGGGGGATACAAAATTAAAGGGTATGGGAAGCAGAACAGGTCTAGAAAGTTCTACACGTAAAAAGAAAGAGAATGAAAAGTAACTGTAGTGCGTGAAGGAAAGAAAGAAATAGTGGAAGAATAAAAGACAGCTGAAAGATCCCGGAGACGGCCGTGGGTAGAGAAGGGTTCGGTGCATTGTCTTGAGCACACTTTCCACACAGCGTAACTCTACCCCTGCACCACTGTCCCACAATCAGACCAGCTGATTAGTACGTGGCGTTGCGCTCAATAGTTTAGGTCCTTTTTCTCACGCGCCGCTGCAACGGAATAAGAGTTGGAAGAGAAGCTACGAGCGTGGTAACAAAGGGCAATAGAGTCAAAAACAAAGGACCAACTGTGTGGAATTGAAAAAGTACGCTTGGTTACTCTTTCAGGAATCGGAAAAAAGAAATTGAAATGAGAGAATTGCCAGGACATGCTGGTTGGAAAGTGAATTGGTGCCGGTGCATCTTGGTCCTGATGATGGTGGTTCTCTGTGTGTGTGTGTGTGTG